GAAGGGCCTGATATAGAGAGGATAGATTGGTCCGAGGAAAACTTCTCTTCCAATCAATTGCATTCTGAGAATTTAGGCTTGATTAACTCATTTAATGAGCTGACAATCAGTGGGGATAACAAGAAAACATATGAAACGAATGCCAAGATCATAGCTGATGAGATTGATTATTGTCGTGAATTGCTGTCAGAAATGGACTGGTATGCTTGAATGTTTTTGAGATAACTTAGAAACTTCATAGAACCTTTACATTATCAAGTCTGTTTGACGAACTCTTCTTCTTTGTTGTAGTAAAATTGGAAAGCTTACACTTGCAAGACTGTTATTGGCATATGATGCATTGTCATCAGCATCTCGTGGTGTACAGGATCAAAACATGTTCCAGTACAAAGAAATTCTTGAACTTTACCACGATTTGATGAAGCTGGACCCGCCACATTTTCAATACTACAAGGATCAATACAGTTTGGTGTTTTTAAAGCAGGTGAAACTCTGCTACTTTGTTCTTGGGCTTGTAAAGCGCAACAGAATCTTGTGATTGTATCTCTGGTTACTTTTGCCAAAAAAAAAAGGGTTCTGGCTATTACCCTAGTCTGTGGAATCTTTTCAAACATAAGAATGAACTTCCAATTATTCATTGAGTTACTAAATTTTCATCCCTTCTGAGGTTTGCTTTTTTTTTTTTTTTTTTTTGGGCTGCTAATGAGAAGGTTTGCTTTTCCTTTGGGCTACAGGAGCTTGCGAATGAGGAGTCATTGCTGAAATACTGTTATCAATATAGAGATTCAACTTCTTTGAGTAATAATTCTTTATGTCTATGCCTGCGCGGTCTTTCACTGTCGCAAATAGGGTGTATAGAGCGACTGCTGTGGGTACAAATGCTTGATCTTAGCAACAATGGAATTCGTTCAATTGAAGGTACCTATAATTAGATGATCTGTTGTTTGTAGCCATGCTTTCAGGATTATGATGCTTCTTGACTGGAATTTCTTGTACATTTGAACAACTATTATCTGCTACTTTTTGGAATTAGTTACTCTGTTTTATCTGTTACATCACTAAAAAGATCTTGATCTTCAAACTAGCCAACGTTCAACTAGATATCAGAGTTTCTCGGTCTCACATTACCTCTTGTTATTTTGCACAGGTTTGGAGTCCTTGCAGCTTCTTTGCTGCTTAAATCTTAGTAACAATAAAATTTGCAGTTTTTCTGCTCTAGAGCCTTTGAGACTGCTGAAGTCATTAAAAGTGTTAGATATCTCACACAATGAAATTGGAGCACATCCTATTGACACAAGAAGATATTTGTGTGCGTCTCCACTGTCCCATACAAGTGATTGGAAGAGAGAGGAATTTGTGGTTAGTGGTCCCGAGATGACAATTTATTGGGATGCTTTTTCGATTTTTAGTGGCTTGAATTTGAGACAGTTAAGTGTTACCGGAAATCCAATTGCTGACAAAAAGTTTAAGTTGTTTTTATGTAAGCTATTGCCAGCAATGAAGTGGCTTGATGATGAAAAATTGAGATGATTACTGGATCTCTGAATTAGTCGGGTCTCATTTCTTCTGCAATTTTTAGAATTACATACATGAGAGGGCATGCTATTTCTGTTTCGAAAACATACCAAAGCATGCGATTTCTCCAGTCCCGAATTATTTGTAGTGCGTGACACATGGGAATATCTTTCGTTTATTTTTTCACTCAAATTTGTGTCTTGAATAGAATGACTCGTACATTTGTTTTGGACCTTAGACTTGCAGCATTTAGAAATATTTTTGCTCTTGCTTTGGATGATGCTATGCTATTACTGAAAATCATGGCTGACAATTCTGGGGACAGCCAACAAATTTCCAGCTACAGCATCTGTTATTAGTCCCTAGTTTATATAAGCAGTGAAGTAAGTGTTCACATCATCATAGTGAGTAGGGAATTTGATGTTAACTTCCAAGCTGGTTTCTTCATTATTATTTTTTTTTGGTGGGGATTATTTATGAAGAGTGAAATCTGAAGAATAGAGTAACAATGTCGAGATTACAGCAGCTTCGTTGTTCATGTCCGTTTAAAGTGATTTCTTCCTTTGCAATAACCATGGCTCCACAGAGACAATAATATCACGCAGAGAGTTTTCCAGTTACCAACATTATTGCTTCTCTTCAACTGCATTTTGTTCAAACATCAAAATCGTGCAAACCTTAGGCCTTATCCTTGTTTCCTTTGCTCATTTCTCTTGCCTTTTCCTCTATCTTTCTTTCCCTGGTTGATGGCGGTTGGTTGATTTTTAGATGATCATGAGTTACAAAATCATCCAAAAAGCATCTAAAACTTCCTGGGAAAATCAATTTGGCCCTCTTTTAGAGTTGAGAGAAAAAGAGACAGAGAGAACCAAATTGATGCTTCTTTGGTGTAAAATAAGTAGTCGTGTGGCCCTTGTGAGTTTTAAGAACCAGAGGCAAGATGATGAAGCTGAACAAAGTAAAAGCAAGCGGACTTATTGGCAATGTTTACTGGTTAGACATATGGAACTACTACTACATGTTATTTCTTTTCTTTTAAATTTGCACGTATACATGTACTACTGACCATTACGGTCCTGCTCAGTGCAACTCCCCCGGGCCCCCTTCCCGGGCCGCCCCAAATTAAAAAAAAAAAAAAATCCCTTCTGCCTTTATTCTCTACAGCACGTGTGGTAAATTTCAATGTAATTTTTGGAGATTTTCTATTTACAATTTTTTTTTATTGTGCCATCTAATCATATGACTGAAACTGCAATTAATTTTTTTAAACAAGATTTGGGCTTAAATTAGGCTATACAGCCTATGCCGACCTCGGCTTAGGAGCAAAGCTTTCCGGTTTTAAAAGAAGATGCCCTCCCTAAAGTTACCCTACTCTTCCCGCGGTTGGTCTCTCTCTCTCTCTCTCTCTCTCTCTTAGCCTTCCTGCAGGAAGTCTCCAATCTGTCAAAGTCCAATCGGCCACTGGCCGTTCCTCTTCCCTCCTATACTCTCCTCTTCTTTCTGCTGCTACTCTTGGCGTACCACCAAAACACCAAGTTTTCAGCTGCGATATTGGGCTGATCTAGATTGTGTTTGTTTCCAAATTTAGCATCCTTTCTTACTTAATTCAGGTAATTAACCATTAGCTTGCATATTAACTTGGACAACTTCCAGATTAGCATTAGATTGTTATTGAATTTATTGGTTGCTATCTCTCACTTGCTTATTTGCTGTCTAGTTGCATTTGTCGTTTTTTTTTTCTTCTTTTTTGAGGGGATTAAGCCTGTAACTTCATTTATCTATCTGGGTTTTCTATATACTTATTACTATTCAAGAAAGTTGATTCCTTTACTTAATTTCTAGAACCCACTTGCATTTAGTAAATTTGAGTCAGCAATTTCCAAGCATTGCACGCTAATTTGATCAAAGATTGCATTTTGTTGAAGTTTTTTTGGAAAAAATGGACAAGTGTAATACGCATTTTGAACTCAAATTTTGCCCTTGTAATTGTTATACAATGTGATTTTCAAAGTAAAGAAAGAAAAAAAATAATCTTTTCCGTAAGAAGAAATTCATCACTTAAGTGGCTGATAGATGCATTTTAATGCATTTTCCTCTTGTTTTCTTCCGCCCCGTTTCTTTTAGTTGTATACATGTCGGCACTTGCAGTCACAGAAAGACTGCAGATGGAGATGGTGCCAGATACCGAAGCATTTATGAAGTTTGCATTCCACCAAGCAAAGCTTGCTTTAGATAGCCTTGAAGTTCCTGTTGGTTGTCATTGTGGATGAAGGGAATAATATTATTGCCTCTGGAAGAAATCGAACCACTGAGAGCCGAAATGCTATGAGGCATGCAGAGATGGAAGCTATTGATGTGCTTCTGGACCGGTGGCGAGAAACTGGACTTTCAAAGGCTCAAGTTGCTGAAAAGTTTTCAAACTGCACCCTTTACGTCACATGCGAGCCGTGCATTATGTGTGCTGCAGCCTTATCGATGCTTGGTATAAAACAAGTGTATTATGGCTGTGCAAATGATAAATTTGGAGGCTGTGGATCCATATTGTCACTGCATTCTGGAGATCCGTCGAGGAAGGGTTTCAAGTGCCAAGGAGGAATAATGATATCAGAGGCGGTCTCTCTTCTACGGGCTTTCTATGAGCAGGGAAATCCCAATGCTCCTAGGCTCATAGACCACCGAGTCAGTTGGTTTAGGACTCTGATTTAGGTCAATGAAAGTGACCGACCTTTGTTGCTCCTACAATGACACCTCTGTAATCATTCATTATTAAGAGATCTGTTAGTGAAACAAGTATTGCATCAGTATTAACAAATTTTTAATTGCCTTCTAAGTCTGTCTTTTGAAGTTTTCGTTCGACATTTGTATCCCTATCTTGTTCAAGGACGAACAAATAATAATACTTTGGCGGGGAAGGAATGATCAGATGTACAGGTCAGGTGCAGTGGAACTTGCAACTTAAAAAGATGCTAGAAGTAGAAAGTCGTATACTTGGGAGTTGAGCTCATTAACTTGGGTTTACATCTTGCTTCATTTCCTCCTTTAATCACCAAACCAGATATGGGAAGCATGAGCGGATTGCTTTATTGTTGGATGAGGTCTTCCTGACTTTATGGCTGATAATTTGCCTATTTGCAGTTTTGACTCCTAGGTTGTTGGCACATGATATTGTATGAGCAATTAATTGTACATTCTGCTGATTATATGTTGGTTGAGAGGAAGATTTAGTTTGTGAAGTGCTCAATTAGCCTATCATTCCTATTAATATCTATATGTTTTTTGAATACTATGAGGATAAGCCAAGCCAAATCAGAGCTTTAGTAAAATGTAGGGAAAAAAAAAACAGAGATTTAATAGATTATCAAACGGTAGCGTGGGTGCTTTGTGCGCAATTCCATAATTGAGTGGTGTATTACGAAACGCATTTTTTCAACTAATTTTTTATATTTTCAGTTAACTTATCGAAACATACTCTCAGTTATATTTATAGAACGGATTGGAGCACCGATGCCGTTGCTAATCTTGGATCGTCCATCCGAACCCTGGTACCCCCGACCTCTCCAGCCTACTCGTCGCCCTCAATTCGACATTTCCTCCTGTAAGTCACCGTGAATGACCTAAGGCCTCCACATCGCCTGCTCTTGGTTCCGTTTTGTCCTGGCTCAAGTTTGCTTCTTAATTTTTTGTTCATCAAAATTAAAGCTTTTTATGTAAATTGAAATAGTCAGGGCTTTGCTACAGTTTCTTGCCTGTTGATTTCTTTAGCACATGGAGTCAGGGTTTAGCTTTCTTGCTTTTGTTGTGAATTTGCCCTGAAATCTTGCCGAAACTTTCCTTTGAACATGCTGTGTGATACTGGCAGCTTATTTACGTTTGTCCTGTGGAGCTATTTTTATTTAATATTGCTGTTTTTAATTCCAAACAGCGAAAAATCGATACTTTTATCTGATTTACATGAGAATATGAATGGGTTTCTTAAAAATCGACTTCAAAGTGGATTTCCAAGAAATGGACTTCTTCTCCTTTTTTCCCCTCCCCTCTTTGTTTTTCTGCTCCTTCTTTTGCGATTCACCCGACTCCCTCAGAGAGGCAGTCAATGTCACACAGGGCCTTCGTTTTGGTACACCACAGATCCACCATAACTGATCCCAATAATTGAGTAATTATTGACACCATCTTTTCCGACAAATTTCCAACATATAAATTTTGGAAAAGCTGGGATCTTTCATTGGACAGGAGTGTATGCTAAATTCATGGGCAAAGTACTATATGCCCCTTAAGATTGTAGACACCATATTCATACATCGGTTGGCCATGAATTGGGACTAAAGAGGTTTTATAGGTGGAAAGGTTTCAGTTTGGACGCCAAAGTTGTATTGTGACCTGATTGTGTTGTTTACTGTTCTTGGAGGTAGTATTTACTACTCAACATGCTTGATTAAGGAGAGTCTATAGTCACGTTATCAAAACTAGGGAAAATTGTGCTAAAAGCCTTCAATATTTAAAACTAACTTTCTTCTCAATGCAGACCTTATTCTTGGAAAATAGTATTCTTAAAGATTTTTTTTTTCTTTTTTTGGTTGGTCTTTAAGGCTCTTGTTTAGTCTTTGTGATTGCTTGCTTCAGAAAGGGCTTTATCCCTTCTCTCTCTCTCTTTTTTTTTTATTTGATGCATGCTTTTTATGCAAAGTTGAAGATTCCTGAGGTACCTTTTTGTGTTGCAACATTTTTTGTAGCTGGATGATTACTGTTAGTTTCTGCATTGAAGGTACGGTTGTGTAAGTGAATCAAGACAATCAGTCAAATGGCCTTAACCAACTTCATACTCACTGTGGCGGGGGTCAGTGCTGTGATTCTGCTGCTTAGGAGTGACGTCAAGCAATCTGCCACCATCTTCAGACGCAATGTCCGACAGATACGCCATTGGCTTGAGGAAGAGTCTGCTTCTGCTGCAAAGTATGCCTTCCTTATTTATTCCTGATATTTGCTTGTACTCATTGGCCTTTTGTTTTAATACCCAACTCAACAAAAAATTTTACTTCTCTCATTTGAAATATCAATTTTTTTTAATCCATTTCTGACGCCAATGCTGTTGCTATTTAGCCTTTTTAGACCACATGCTTCCTAATTGAAAATCTGGATAACTAGTCATTCTTTTTCCCTTCTGTGGATTCGGTTTTGTCATAATATGAGGAAAATAGTTATTTGGTTTTACTCTTTTGACGTTTCCACATTTTAACAGCTTAAACTTGGTTGTGGAAGAAGTTTAATTCAGCAGTGGAAGTGTTTGTTTCTTGAACTTAGACAACAAATATTTCATCCGAGTTGCATGTTCAATTATGCTCGAGTCAAAAGGCACGAAAAGTTCCAAAAAACTTTGCTGAAATGTCATCATGATTTGTTGTGTAGACCAAGTCGAACCTAATTTGGTCGCTAGTGGTAGCTAAATCATGATGATTTATTCTTGTTGGGCAGATTTCTTTTGCTGGGGCTATATAGTTTTTGGGCATTAAGTTTTGCTCGTAATATAGTATTTGGGCATTAAGTTTTGCTTGTAGTTAAGCATTTCAGATTAGCATGTGACTGCCTGATGTTTCCATGGAAGGAATGAAAGTTTTTTGTCAGATGCTCGTGTCATTAGCATTTCTTTTAAACCGAGAAACTATTCTATTGTTCTTGGATTACACTTGGAGACCTGAAGAACACAGTTAAAGCACTTGCTTACTTATACATGTTAAAAAGAACAAAATGGTGATCGGAGGTTGGCCCAAATATTTTGGATGAGATAGGAACTCCATGTGAGCAGGGGAACACAACACTTACTCGGCTGTGTCGCCCAAATAATTCTTACTTATTACGTGTTTAGTGGGAAGAGCAACTGAATTTGAACTGACGGTGATATCTGATGCAGCTGCATATGTCCTTGTTTGCTACATTGATATCTCTGGTATTCTTAAATTTGCGTTTTTGAAGGAGCCTGTTATCTCATTGTTATCATTAAGCAACCGTATAATGGCATGCTTGGTTCCATTTAGGGAGATGGAGAAGGCAAAGCCAAAGGAGATACCTGGGAAGGATACACCCAAGGAGGAAAAGCACTAATTTGGTCCTTGAAGCCTGGTTTATGTAGGAAACTGTACATTTTTGCAACCTGTCTTTGGCATCTGGTCCGTCTTGTGTAAATCTGAGAGCGTGGAGAGAGTTTTTGGTCTTGATTAGATATATTTTGTTTTTCTGAAGCACGGACTTGGGATTCCATAATGCTTAACGTTTCTAGAAGTTAGGTTACCTTCTGGTGTTGGCTTCTATGCTTTTCGTGGAATGTTTTGCTTGAAACCCTTTGGGGGGAAAAAGAAATAAAAAGTCTTAACAAGTTCAAAGGTGGAAGATTAAAACTGGAAAGTAAATCCTTTGCATGGGCAAATTTGCATCAATCATAGGAGTACTATACTATAGTAACTATACTGCACATCTTTGGTTTCTTTCCCTTTTTTGTAGTCTTTGTTGAGACGTGGGAAAGGAGAGCAACACAACCAAATTTAAATGGATCTTGCAGCTTTATATATTGAGATCGATATTAGGAAGATAATTGTAGTGTGTCAAATTTTCCTATTGAAAATGGAATTTACCTTGTGCTATTGAGCATGGTTCTGTAGATGGCATAGAATTAGTAGTGTTAGATTTTTTTTCACTGGCTAATGCTGATGGGATCTCGAGATAACATAATGGATCACAAATCTAAGCGAAATTTGGCTTGAAGGACACATTTTACCCATGCTTTAGTCACACCATCATGAAAATAAAGTTCTAGCCTTAATAAAGAAGAAACTTTAAAATGATTATTGTCAAAAGAAGCTTTTAAATGTTCAAAACCGACAAAATCCATGCAGAAGAGTAAAATATTTCTTCTGTGAATAATTTAGAGGAAAGAATTTTTTTTTCCTCACATTTGTTTTGTGCCTAATTTTTAAAACATGAGGGGAGCTCTTTGCAATTATTAAAAACCTTAGGGAGGTTTGTGAAATTATCCCTTTTATCTTTGGAAAAGGTTTAAGAAGTTCTCTGAAACGGTCTTATACACCAACAATCATAAATAATGCACACATACACACTACCTAAGGGAAATTCACGGCCCAACTCAAAAGGCATGCTGACTTTCAGGTCACACCGAGGATCTTAAGTAGTACACACATCACTCACAATCGATGTGAGATAGAGAGAAATGGGGAGGGGAAACACCAAGACTATTGCCCAAAGGCTCACCAACGACTTTTAATCACACTACATGATTTTCTTTATCCACTAACAACCGTAAACAACGCGCGTACACACACTACCTAAAGGCTGAAACGGTCTTATACAATACTACTACTTTCGGTACATTAGCATTCAAAAAGATAAGACTATAACTAGTGCCATCCACATCATAGAGGTAATTAAAGCTTGTGCATGTAAACAACAACAATCTTTTCTAAGGATAAGCATAAGAAGAGTAATGATTCTATGACCCTTCAATTTGTTCAACTAGTTCTGGAGAATGTCGATAAATCCACACATCCATTTCCACCACTTGCTAAATCCATGACCTTTTTACAATGGGGAAAAAAAGGGAGGTTTTATAATTCACAATTCAATGCACAATAGATAGGGAAATGCTTGTATGTATATCTTAGCCATCTAACAAAGAGTCAAGTGCTTTACATATATATATGTATATATCTGGCTGTGTGTGTGTATGTATGTATATGTGCGTGTACATATATGTATATATGTGTCCATATGTGTGACTGTGTGTCTGTATATATATATATATACACACACATATATGTATGTGTGCATATACGTAGCACACACATTATTTCTATAGTAAAACAATAACTAACATTTAAGAATAAAAATCTGTAGAATATCTTTCTTATTGAACAAAAGCTCATTGGCCACCTCATGCAAATTGGAGTGGAGATTTTTTTCGTGGCTAAAACTAGAAGTAATGAAAAACTGCCGTCCTTTGGCTTGAAGTTCGTGTCGCAAATGTGCAAAATAGAAAGGAAATTAACTGTTAAACAATCATGCACAAAATCCACGTACGTAACTCGATCATCTTTGACTCAGAAAATTTGGTCGTTGAAATAAAACGTTCTCTCTCTAACCATTCAACATAGCAGAGAGGCGCTTGAAATCATTAATGAGCGAATTTATGAAACAGCATCCCATCCATTACTTGGTGATATAAATATGTTATTAATGAATGATTAATGCCGCTTAGCTTAGCTTACCCGGTGGTCCACCAGCTTCACTAAATCAATGGACAGCGTTACCCTGCTGCTGCCTATCCCTTTCCCTTTCTTCCTTCCTATGCATCAAAACTAATCATCATAACAGTAATAAAAGAGATCAATATTAATGAACAGCCTGTCAAAATTGAAAATCAAGAATAATAGCCTTTCAAAATTGAAACGTAGAAAGAACCCTTTATCATGGCGTAAGGAATTGATACATACTCCATCCGTCCCACTTTGATAGTCCTGTTTCTTTTTTCACACAGTTTGAGAAAAAGTAGTTAACTTTGTTGGAAAAGTAAATTTAGATTGCTATTTTCCTAAAATACCCTCACATTAAATAGAGTACAACTTTATGAGAACTTGAATTGATGGTAAAAAAAGAATCAACTCTCATTAAATGGGGTAGGTTTATAGCAACAACAACTTGTATTAAATAAGGATATTTTAGGAAAATGAAAATACAACTACATTCTTCAATTGGAAAGTGGACTGCAATTTGGGACAGACAAAAAAGGAAAACAAGACTATCAAAGTGGGACGGAGGGAGTACAATTTATCATTATCTTACACGACAAGGACCCTTTACCATGGTGTATTCTTGCTTCACGCAAAGCACAATTTGCACATGATGAGATGTTATGAATACGATTTCCCACCAAAACGTCACCCCTTTTTCTTTTTTCTTTATTTTTTGCGTCTCCGCACAGCTAGGGTTGATTTCATCACAATTTCTTGTTGCAACTGGTTCCGCAGAGTCTGATAGTTATCGGCAGATTCTGTGATTGATCCTCGTGTATTACCTTATTGTGTATTATTGAGACAAAACTCTACGTGAGTTTAGGGAATTAGTTCAGGCAAAATATTGGAATACCTTTAAGAAAACAAAAACCATATTAGAGGTAACTTTTATTTTCTGCCTTTTCTATTTTTTTCTTTCTTTCTTTCTAATAAAAGGATCAATATATTGGTCAGTCAAAGAACGATCAAGAAGAGTAGAATTGTTAGTTGTTACATCAATCATCCCTTTTTATTATTTTACATCACATGGTGGCTGTCCCTTTTAATTGTTTGTTTTGGTATAGAATTATTATTATTATTATGTCTTACCTCCGATTGGTCTAATCTTTTTTTTCCAATACAAATGTTTTTAAACCATATACATATACATCCACTTTATCTCTTGACCCGTATTATGTATCGCTTTTTTTTTTTTTCCCCCTACTATTATCCTGTTTCCAGCTATGTACTCCTATGTTTCCTGCTTGTTTCTTTAAAAAAATCTGACGTGGAAAATAGAAAAATGACATGGCACGAGTAGTCTGGAGAAACGCGTCCAAACGGCGCAAGTGAGTCGCGGGCGGGAACGTGCATGGATGCAGCCCAGTCATGGCGTGCCACGTCGGACTCTCCCCCACCCCCCTGCCTATTTACAGTTAGTTACCCAAGCCGCCCCATAAATATATAACCACAGAACCTGGATCCTAAGAAACAACGGAGACAGAGGAATCCTTGCCATTCTCTTCTTCTTCTTTCTCCCTGTCTCTGTTCAATTCATTCTCGGGTTATTTCTATTGTCAGGAATTTATTCTTGATCAACTATACACGCTCATTTATTTATACATACATATCAGCATGGCATCCATGCCTTTGCGGGCTAAATCTGTACATAATTTAGAAGATTTACGAAGCTGTTGCTTCGGTAATACTCAATCTTTGATGCCTAACAAGGGTTTTGTGAGTTTTTATAGCCGGAGCAGGAATCATCAAAACCAGATTTGCCAAGCACCCCGGCTTAGTATTAGTTCTGCTGCTGCCTCTGCCTCTGCCTCGGTTGTAAATGATAATACTAACGATTATAGTTGCAGCAGCAGTACTCATTTATCTGTATTTAATCCTCATTCAGCTTCAATTTATAACAATGCTTGTATTTCTTCCAAAAATAAGAAAAGGGTGTTTGATAAGGAGGAAAGTGATTTTTCTGGGAATCTTGATCGCTGGGTTAAAGAATCCGTTGTCGAGGTAAATTTTCCTCAATCTCTGTCGTTTTTTTTTTACACTTTTTTCCATTAATTTTTGGATCCGTGTTCTTTTTCTTTTTTACTTCTTGTTTTTTTTTTTCCCTAATGTGTGTTGGAAATTTTCAACGTTTGCATTTTTTTAGGTAGATGATAGTTACGTTATTACGCGTATATGCGGCGACCATGTCCCGTTGTACTTAGTCTACAAATAACTCTCTGTGATAATTGATGTTGGACTGTGGTTATTGAGACAAGTACTTAAATTAGTCCATGTCTTGTAAGAGTGAAACTGGCCTTAATTTTCTCTGGATCCTTTTGCCAAAACTGGGTTCGTAATGGATGATGGCCTTGATCTTCAACCATCAGTCATATTTAATAGCCTTTAGCACATATTAGGGATTCCTTTTGTTTGATGTATTCAACAGTTTTGCTGTTGAATTGTATCATCCATCATTCTTTGTCAACTTTCCTGGAAGTTTGAAAGCTTGCCTTTTTTCACTAAAGATTTTGAAGATTTGTCTTGGTATTGTTTGTTCATGGCCCGGTTGTTATTTTGTTCAGATATTGAATAACCTCGATGAAGCACCTTTTCTTGTGCACATCTACTCTGATGGCGAAGAGGCATCTGTATCCATGAGCAACACCAGATTAGTAAAAGAGAAGGCAGATGCACAGAGCTGGCCCCGTATCAAAGGAAGATGGGGTGGAGGTAGCCCCTCTCCTAGTGGCATTATCTTGGTCGAAGAAATGAGCACTGAAGATGCTCTTAGCTCTGATGGTGAAAACCTTGGAAGTTTGGGAATGGATTATGATTCGCGTTCTTCTTCAACCAAAGTATGGGGTATACTGATTCAAGGCAAAGGTTCAACTTGCCCTGCTTGTTACATCCTGAAAACTTGCCGAGTGAGGTCTATTGCAGGGTTCTGCACTCACTTTTGTTTAGTGAGAGTGAAGTGCTTCTTTGAAAGTGTAGATATACAGCTCAAGAAATTGTGGCTGGTGTAAACATCTTATTCTTAATATTCTATTTATTGAATGAAATATACAGCTCAAGAAATTGTGGCTGGTGTAAACATCTTATTTTTAACGTTCAATTTGATTGAATCAAATCTAACAAACCCTATGAGAGGCCATTCAAAAGAATGACTATTTATTACAGCAACTTCATTCTCAATGGTTGGTTCATCAGTCTATTGCCTTTAGACACAAATTTTCATATTCATTACCATTTCACTCACTAGTCATGAACCAACTCCTCCTGTATAAATTGATCTGATCAGCCTGCTGCATCTTGAAAGTGGTATGGTAGGGTTGTCGTCTTTTGATCACCTTTCAGAAATTAGAACAGGAGATAATAATGGTCCGCAACAAATCAAGCAGACATGCTTTCTTTCAATGAAGTCTATTATTGCTTTTAATAACTTTATTCCACCTCTAAATAAATTGCTGAGCTTACGTCAATCATTAACTATGAAAAGCATAAATAAATCTTTGTAGAACAAGCACTTATTGGAATGCCAGTCTTCCAGCTAGACCTGGCCATGGCATTATTTCAGAAAGGTTTAAACAGAAAAAAAAAAAAAAGAGAGGCCTGCATAGTGACAGGATGTTAAAATTTATTTACAGGCGGGTAACGGAGAGCCACACAAACAATCATTCCCAGAGAATGCGCTGGCTGGAAACCTGGTCTTGGGGAGCTGACCGCACAAGTGATTATGGCTAACGTTCAGTTTTTGAAGCCCTGCAACTGCATTAGGCACCTTCCCACTTATCAAATTCCGCGATAAATCCAGGTCCTTCAAAGTCTTGGGAAGTTTCAAGGTCTCCAGTTTAAAGTTTAACTTGTTCCCCGAAGCGTAGAACCCCTTGAGATATTCCGTTCTGTTCAACAATTTGAACGGACTCCCGGTAATTTGATTCTCAGAAAGATCGATGTAATCGTAGAAGTACGTTTGTGCGGGATTCCAGTCGTCCAATTTCAGATTGATCCCACATTTTGCCAGCTTCAGAGAATAGATAATTGGGGAAGAAGTCACCCAGGCTGGGATGTTGACCAGATGGAACTGGTTATGGGACAAGTCTAAGGATTCAATGCCTTTAACCTGCATTGCTGGAAATGGATCCACTAGGTAATTATGGCAGAGGTCAAGGTTAAATATCTTAGTAAGATTTGAGAAAGTTTTCGGGACAAGTCCTGAAAATTGGTTCCAAGACAGGTCTAAAGTGTCCAGGGCCCGAAACTTTCCAAGGAAATCTGGGATTTGTCCTGAGAGAGAATTGTGGCCGAGCTCGAGGTACCTGAGATTTGGTGCCAGAGATAAAATGCTTGTTGGGATGTTTCCGGTTAGTTTATTGTTTGCCAGGTTTAGATTATAGAGGGTGGGGAACGATGCAAAAATATCCGGTATGGTGCCGGTGAGTTGGTTCCCATCCAGGGTCAAAGAAGTTAAGTTTTTGAGGTTCTGGATTCCCAGGGGTATGGTGCCCGTGAGAAGGTTGCCGCCGAGTCTGAGCTGAGATAGCTGAGTGAGCTGGGAGATTGAAGTGGGAATGTGGCCTGAGAACCGGTTTCCTTGAAGACTGAATGCTTGGAGTTTGGCCAGACTACCAACGTTTTCAGGTATCGGACCCGACAATCTATTGTTTTCAATGTAAATAAAGATGAGCCTGGGGAGGCTGAAGAGGAAATTTGGAAAAGGACCGGATAATTTTCGGAGGTTTAAGAAGTAAACGCCGTCCAAGAACTGAAGTTTTGAAAGAGATGGTGAGATAGTACCGGATAAAACCTGGGTGGAGTTCTGAGGCTGTCCGGAGAGGTCGAGGGCCGTGACCCGGGTGCCTTGTAGGCATGTTATGCCGTTCCAGGAGCAGCAGTCTGTTCCGGGCTTCCAAGACTGAAGCATGCCGGAAGGGTCAGCTGTGATGCCGGACTTGAATGCGAGTAAGCCGGCTTCATCGTCTGGGTGGCATTTTGCTGCTTCGGCTGTGAGGTAGCGGAGATTGAGAAGAGTGAAGAGGAGGAGGAAAGCACAAAGGAGATGGGAGAAGAAGAGAGATTGCATTGTATCTGGATATTGTGCTGCTCTGCTCTATTCTACTGTGTAAGAGACGGACACTAGTAAGATTATGAAGATTGATATGCCAGTTGCCAGCCCCAATCAATCGTACATTCATGTGTGTATATATATATATATATATCAGTAGTCAGCTCCAAGGTCAAGTATGGGATTTTAAAAAATTTATTATGTACTTCCTATTTTAAGTAAGTTTTTTCAAGTGTCATTGTTGTGATTTTGTGAATGGTCGGTCAAGGGAGGGAAAACTTTGATGATGAGTGGAGCTGCAAGTCGGTAGGGTTGCTATTATGTTACCATTAAATGTTGGAACTTTAATGTGAAGGGCCACACATCACCATGCCGGGAGGACTTTAGGATCCTATGTAGCACTCTCAAGATAGGATCAAGGAGCCACCGAGCTTTTGGTTCGGTAGTTATCACCAAAAAGGATTTAGTCTCTTTTTTTTTTTTTAATTATAGATTGGGAGTTTGAATTTCATTTGCCGTGAAATAAATTCAAAGAAAGTGTCAGATCATTTTTTTTTTTATTTAGTCAGATTTTTATACATATTAGTCCCTTATACACATGTCGCTCTGTTTGGATTGTAAATTATTTGTCAAAATTTATTTGCTTACATCATCATTACAATTTCCAACACACCTCTTTATCTTTTCAATTATCTTTTTATTTCGCATACATCACATCATAAAAAGTACTACAGTATAAATATCTCAAATAATTTACAATCCAAACAGAGCGCAGTTTCTTTAGCCTCCCCTCTTTATAAATTAGGATGGATTAGATTAAGAAATGCTATCGTTATATAAAAAAAATAAAATCAAGGACTCTCTGTATAATTGAATTGTTAATTGTATGTAAAAATATAACATTTATTTTATTTTTAAAAAATTGTGTCTAAAAATTGATGTGCTAGTGTCTAAATTATATACTACTATACAGCTATTTATCACAATCTAGGGGCTATTTATCACAATCCAACTACGATACATTTGTATAACCTACTCAATCCTAATCTAGGGGGGGGGAGCCTAAGGAGAGTGTTGTAGGGGCTAATGGGTATACAAACTCAACTAGATCAAGGGAGTGCTATGACACAACTCTTAAATTTTTTTCGCTGCTGATGAAGGTGATGAGGTTTGAATCCTCACCAACAGTCCAAGAAGGGACTTAAGTCCCTTCCTGATGGCCACTGAGCCATTGGCCCATGGTTGAGACGAGGAGAGTCGGATACGCGCTTTTGGGAGCTCTAAGATGGCCTAGACTAAAACGGGGAATTTGACCGTCCGCAGTCAGCGGAGTAGTAGCAATTTGGGACCTCGATGCTGAATAGTGATGACTAATGACGGTCAAGTGCGTCGGCGGCCAGGTAAGGCGGAGCAGACTAGCGACTTTCAAAAACGTCATGCCGGCACAGGCACATGCACCGCAGCCGCATCTTGCTGGATGCCACGAGTGTCTACTTCCTGTACAACAATCTCCAAATTGCAAAGCCAAATGAGAATTAATAATGACGAAAAGCAAGGCTCACATAACATCAATAATACCCTTTCCAACCATATATTGACAATTCCAATTATGCCACCATATGCTTATTCCCCTTCTCCTCTCATCTAAAATTTCATCCTACTTCCCCTGTGTTTGCATAATCCCACAACAAATCTTATATTACTGTGTCTGGATAATAAATTATTTCAAATATTATTTCACTTGTATCTAAATATATTTTTCAAAATCCACCTTTTAATACTATTCTTAACCATCCTTTTTATCTCATATAAATCACATCACAAAAAATACTACTCCCTCCGTCCCACTTTGTTAGTCTTGTTTTCCTTTTTCGTCCGTCCCAAATTGTAGTCCACTTTCCCATTAAGAAATGTAGTAATTTTCAAATTGTCTAAAATACCCTTATTAAATATCTTGTTATTAATACATTGTTATTAAATACTAACCCACTACACATAGTTATTAAACCCGGCCCGGCCCGGCGGTCGAACCGGTCAAACCGGTGAACCGGACATTGGACCGGGCTGGGTTTTGAGTTAGATCGTTTAAACAATCAACCCGTTGACTAGTCAACGGACCGGCGGTTCGACCGGATTAAACCGGAAACTCGGCCGGTTTTTGTCTACAAACCGGGTTCCTGAGAAAAAATTTTATGCCTTTGATGGGATTCGAACATTGGACGTATAAACATTGTAACAACGCAGACACCACCAAGCTACTTCACAATATGGTGCTAAGGTTTCTTACTTATAATATATAAACCTTTTTCAATTTTATCTTTTTTATTATTTCTCTAAAACAAATTTATTTGGAATCTTTTAATAAAAATTTATGACCCCCAAACTCTATAAGTTATAAAATAGACTTCAAAAATAACATATTACATAATTCATTTTAAAGACAAATATTATTTTTAATATTTTTTTGCACTTAAACTTATAAATAAGTTAGATAATTACACTGAATATAGATAAAATTTTATACTTAAAATTTGGTGTATTACTAAATAATTTTATATTTTATTGATTCTTATATGAATTAATTATTTTATAGCAAATTAAATTATATGAGTATTTGCTATGACATTATTTATTACAATTTATATCTTATATCTTATATTTAAAATTATGAAATATAATATTTAAATATATTTAGTGACCCACCGGTTCAACCACTCACCCACTGGTTGAACCAGTAACCCGTTGACCCACCTCGTTCGCCGGGTTCCCTCCCGGGTTGGGTTTAATAACTATGCCACTACATTGAATACATTGAGTTTTTCCAATACTAACCCATTAGCTGTAACTGATATTAATTGGCACTTTTCGTGATTAGCATAAGGGTATTTTAGGAAATTATTAATCTAAATTTATGTTTCCAACCAAATTAATTACACTTTCTTAATCTGTGTGAAAAAAAAAACCAAGACTAACAAAACGGGACGGAGGGAGTACTATAGTAATTATTTTAAATAATACTCTATTCAAACACAATAATGAAAATGAAAAATGAATGTAGCATCAATTAAACGTGTGGTAGTGCCCGCTAGCTAAGGA